CTGGGCCTTACTTGGTGTAAAAATTCCCTCCGTCTTTCTCCAGAGTCAACAGTAACCTGCTCTGGCTTTTTGTCCTCCTTTCCCCCACCCTGTGCATTGGCATTGACTGGGATTTGACTGAGTGAGAGCTTTGGCATGTAAGTCAACAGTCATAAACCCCCCCACTGGTATAAATCTACTGGCATTTATATAAAAACCTGCGTAAATAGGTGACGAGGCACTAAGTTCATAAAAAGCTGCAGCAACAGAGTCCTGACATGCATAAATCTTGCATCTCTTAAAACATTAGTGCTGTGTTAATATTGTACCACGCGAGAGAGAAAAAGTCATTGTAGGACCTTTTTAGTAACCAACTTCAATCTAAAAAAAATGTGTGTGTTACATAATTTTAAATCTAATTACATTTTTGGTTTTCTTATTAGTAAACTATATATATATATATACAGTATATTTCAATTCTTGTGTGTGTGATAGAGGCAAGCCAAGTGACTATTCTGTAATGCTTGAGCAAATTATGGATTTATAAGACTGTGGTTTGTGTGTGTGCGTGTGTGAATGCAGGGGTATATTGAGAGTTGTGGATGGAGGTAGTGCGGTCAGTCGCTTATGAAATGACAGTATGGAAAGACAGACCAACTCACCTGCTCTTAATCTGCCATCCGAATCTGCTCTCCGCGCTCGGATTACATATGTTTCTGTCTGTGCTCTTTGGGGAGGTATGCGTGCATGTCTTCGCCCCCTTACCCTTTATTTGACAGTCATTATTCTCTCATGTCAGTGTTTTTTTGCATGCCGTGGAGGTGATTTGTCTCTTTCTTGAAAAGCACTTTACGACGGCAGGCCCACCGGCCTTGTCAGTGTCTTGCAGGTTTGAAGCTTTGCAGTCCCTCCTTATCTTTATCCCCTTAACACTCATGGACGCGTAGCGCAGTGAGACTGAAAGAGGATAGCCCAATAAAACTCTCAGCCACGGGAAAGGATGTACGCCAGGGCCTGGCTACTGTGAGAAAGGCTTGTGATCCGCAGAGATCCTCCCCCACCAGGAGCGAGCTGTTCCCGAGCTGGGCTTCGAGGCCGCGTCAGGGGCTTCCTGTGCCGCCGGGCCTCCGGAGTCTTTGAGGAAGGAGCCAGTGGCTCGTCTCTGATGGACCGCCTGACTGACAGCATTGATCCAGTCTCCTGCCTCTCAGTGTGGGTATCGAATGGCGCCCGATGAGCTGATAGGTGATAAATGAGAGAGGGAGAATGTGAAGTAGGCCGGTCATTGTTGAGGGGTCTGACTTCTCTTTCCCCCTGGTCTTATTGAGGAGGGGTTCTCGAGCTATGAGAGTGCCAGGTAGGAGCAGAAATGCAACACACCACAGCATCTGGTGAAGACAGCTTCTTTTAGAGGAGACGTAATGAAAGAGAGCAGATGGACAGATTCCTCTGTGAACCTTTTCCGAAGTCTTTTGGCAGGAGCTGGCGTGTGAGGTTCAAGAAGGTGATGTTTGTAGCTGAGGTGATCAATGTTGCAAAGAACAAGAGCACCGCCAAAGTCCTTTGTGGTCAGCACCCCCAATCTATTGGTATTTTTGTCCTTGTAGGTTTAGTGGAGGGTCCCAGGAGACCAGCTTTTTGTTAGAGGACCCACTTAGCATTGTTCAGATTAGGAACCTGGGCATGGGCAAAATCAACTACACTACATATATGACAGTACAATTAGTTTTGATGGGAAAATTTACCCCCGAAATTTGAAGCTAAATGCCCAATGTATGAACAATTAGATATCTGACAAAAGTCAGAGAGTGGATTATAATTTGGATATAAAGCAAACAATATGTTTGCCTTGACTTCTAAAGCCACTTAAGCTGTATTCAGTGATTTCATCCTCCACAATAATGCAATGGCTTTGAATTATCCTAATTGGGGGCTTTCAGCTAATATTAATATATGTGATTAATTAGGTTGCAGAAATTAATTGGCAAACCTTTTGGAGAATTTTAAGAGTTGTTGAAAAGATTATTTTTCCCCGAGACGTCAGGCAAGGCATGATGGGTAAACAGTCTTCCATCCATCGTGTGTGTCCAAAGCAAGACGAGACAAATGGCGCTTTGAGTGGAAAATTCCCCTGTTGTAAATCTGTCACCTGGGCATGATATTTGTTTCTGTTATTGTTGCATTATTTATGATCTCAGTCTACCCACATGACTTAAAAAAAAAATTTAAACAGCAACCCGGCACAAGCCAAACAGTTATGACAGCACCCAGTTGACAGAAAACATCACCAGCTACGACAAGACGGATGTTAGCGCTGTGCTAACTAGCACTGGGCTAACTGTGACCATCCTGAACTTACCCTCCGCATTTCTTGACTAAACTAACATGATTACAGAGGATCATGCGGGACACTCTGTGAGGTTTTCAGGACCGTTTATCAGCATTCTGTCACCAGAGAGGTATTGACTTAGCCTTTAACCAGAGGGTGATGGATAGCGCCATGTTTGGGCATTTGTCTAAGGCCAAGAACCAGAGTCCATTCATGTATTTTTCATAGCAGATGGGAAGGAAGAGAAGGAAGGAGAGGGGAATAAATGTCAAATCCCATCATTGGTTGGGCATTTTAAAAGCTTATTAGCGCACAGCATGCTTTCAGTCAACCATGTACGTAGCAAGTCTCTGTGTAATGGTGTGTGTGTGCACGTTTATGTGGCACCATTGCTAAGGCCGGGTTTATTTTAACTCAGCTGTTTTTCCGAGCATATCCACCCAGCCGTTCTGTCACAGCGGTTTGGAGGGCTTCTATCAGACCGCCTTTTTAAGGCCTCGTCCCTCTTTTTGTGGCTGCCAGTCAATCCGGAGGCCCCATATATCCTCCAGCAGCGGCGCTTGGCTGAGATACAAGACCTGACAGAGATGCGGAAGGAGGTATCGCCCCTTACAGCTGTTTCAGATCCGGCTCTGATACAAAAGACTCCGCTATTGGTCTGCCGTGTGTCACGTAGATAAATGTAGACTTTTTTTTGTCACAGCTGATTCAACAGATGAATTCCTGCCCTATTATTCATTCACCATGAGGCAGAGGTTTGAATTTTGGCACCCAAATGTGCTTTCGTAGGTCTTGGATACGGGGCCGCGCTAGACCGTAGACTAACGAGAGCATGATGTAGGTCTCTGTGCGTCTGCTACACCGGTTCTTTGCAGAGACCCAGTTTGCGCCGTCTAATTGTTTCCAGAATCGGGGAGAACCGTCGGCCCATTTTAGACATTCTTTCCTCCATTCCTTGACTCTCTCATCCTCTCTTTCTCTCTCATAAGCTCTTCAACCTTGGTCTTCCTCCACCTTCCTACATCTCGTTCTTTCAAAGTTTTGTTTGATCGCACTCTGCGGCCATGGTCCGCCCAAGAGAGCCTTCATTGCCAACGAAAACACAAAAACAATCTGCCCTGGAAAGATACAGATGGGGTTAATAAGAATTAATAAAGTGTGGGGACACAAATGTTCTTGCAAGCTCAGACCAAAGCAGACTCTCTCCCTGTCTTTTTTTACATCTCTCTCATCACTCACTCTTTCTTTTTAGCCTCTGTTTCCTCTCTCCGCTACTTGACAATCAGGTAACTGTATTTGCTTTCTGCTATTGAGCGATGAGGAGTGATCGCAGAGCTCCCTGAGCTCCACTATGTTCTCGGTCCTCTTTGAGAGGGTATTTATTTGGGAACATTTCAATAGATCTTCTGCTGTCTTGTTCTGTACTGTAGGATTTCGAAAAACATTGCACACTTCTCCCATCCTAGAATTTATGGGTCCACCATTGCAGCCCAAAACCAGCTTATGTAACATCTTGGTTCATACAAGACAATGTGACCAGGAAAGGAAAAGGCCAGCCTTAGATTGAGACCTGTCCTTTCATTCAATCTACTCAGCTTTGCATTATTGTGCATTGTATATTCCCATTGATAATGGTGAACAACACTTAGGGAGCAGTTGTGTTTTTCAATTTTACAGTATTGTTCAATGCATTAGATTTCATGAGCTAACAATGAACAGTATTTATTAATCTAGGTTAATATGTATCTATTTTTTAAACTATGCTATAATTCATAATACATATATATAATGTAAATAAAAATATGCATTCTGTTTGTTATTATTATTTTAAGGCCTAGTTCCTATGAACCTGTAATGGTACTGTATGTCATTATTATGTCATATTGTAATTCAGGTTATTATTGTATTATATTAAACATCTTACTCAAAGCACTGCAGTGATAATTCATGGATCACCTCTTGCCAGATTTGAACCTTTCAGTTCCAGTTTAGGCAATGGCATGCAAAGGAAAGAATACGGCTATCGGCACTCGTTCACACTCACACACAAACCGCATGTTGCTATTTATCACATTTCTAGACTGACGTTAAAACAAATGTGATGGATCAATCTTGTATTGTCCCAGAATTCTTTGTTGAAGCCAGTGAGATACACACATGACACAGAGACGTATGGTTTTTGGATTTGCTCCCACACAAGTGCATTTATTATTTTGATGGATACGGAAAAGCCGTGTGAGTGTCTGCTGTGTGTATAGAGATGTTGTGTAAAGACCGGGCATCTGTCGGCAGTGGTCCAGGTAACTGAGATTGTTTGTCTGTGTTCCTGGAATGGGAATGTTTCTCCTGACACATTTTTATTATAGCACTGTTCTCATTGTGATTCATGTGTTTCAGCTGTGGTCTATCATCCATAATCGTCCGCAACCTTTCACTGAATATTGCTCTTTATCCCCTCCCCCCTCCCCCCTTTTTTTTTGAATACAATCAAAAGTGACAAAGCAAAATTTGAACTCTGTGTTCTGGCTTGCTAAATGTGTTGTTTGCGTGTCATTTTAGCATGCGTCTGCATACCCGTCTTTTTATCTCACTGGCTCGTGTCCAAGCATCTAATACTTGAACGCTAGAGGAAAACTGAGATTGAAATGGCTCTTTATCTCTAACCCATTTCCTCATTCCTGTTTTTGGACAGATTATCCCCCCACTCATAGACCTCAATCAGAACCGCAGTAAGCTGAAACTGTACATCAGCCACCTCACGGCCCTCTGCCACGAGAGAGACCCCCACATCCTGCAGGACCTGGCCCCGCCTTCCGCATACCAGCGCAGCCAACAGGACGCCTGGGAGGAGGAGCTTCAGAAGATGAGCCATGAACAGGTAGGACAAGGTGACATCCATGTTGGTGCACTCTTTTATTTGGAATATATCACTTTTCATTGCATGCATGCATTCATTATGGTGACCTATCTAGTGTTTCTCTATTCACAGCTGTGATTTTGTTATTATGAAAAGGTTAACACTTTACAATAAGGTTCATTGCATTCATTGAACAGCATTCATTATTCTTGCTTTATATACTTTAAGTAATGAAAGTAGTGTTCATTTTTAGCTTATTAACTAATGCACCAAATTGAAGCTTATTGCAATGTGTCACCATTAAAAAAAAGACTTGATGTAACCTTTTACCTTTTTTTCATGACTCGCTAAGCACAAAAAGTTTGTCTATTTCTCCGAGTATGTGCGCTCAAGGTACCGAAGCGTTTCTCGGGTACTTGGATTTGTCACCCATCGATTATTGGAGCCATCTGGCCTGGCCCGCACGGCCCTTAGCTGACGCTAACGTTCACTGTCTATAAATCTCCTATTGGCTTTGAGAATCAGTCCGGCTCTGCGTAAATGCCATTAGTCCTCTTTATAGAGTGGAATGTGTTCCTACAGAAAATAAATAGTCCAATATATTGTGTTTTATTAGCTTCATTTACTGTTACTATAACAAAAGAAAACCAAAAAGCTACCCAAGGCTCACTTAAAAGACGGGGGAGAGCCAAGAGTGGATGAGAGGGGGGTGAGAAAGACGTTTAAGAAAAATCAGAAGAAGAGCAACTGGAATGGCGCGATAAAGAAAAGGAGTGTCAGCATTTGGACTGCAAAAGAGAGAAGCGTTTGAGGAGGTAGTGGCTGGATTTAGTCTCTCCATGATGAATGATCCCCTCACTGTAATAAATGTATGTTTGGATCCATTTTCTCGACTTCACTTTGATCCCATTGCCATACCTACCTTAACAGTAAATTGTCTGCAAACGGACACTGGGTTTAGTCCCTGCGTCGGTACATCCCAGTTCTGCATCCATCCCTATGCTTTTTGTAACATCAGAAAAATAAATTGTCTGGAAGTCTACATATACATTATGCTCACTTTAAATCGGCCCCATTCCTCAAGAGGAGAGGAGAGTGATCTGCTGTGATGGTGCCAAGGCTTATACAATGCTCATGTGTTTCACTGCACGGGGAACTATCTGCTTGGCAGGTTTTTGGCTCGCTCCAACATTATTGAAATGCATTTTTTTATGTGGGCTGCCTGATGACAAGGCTTTGGCTAGTGAACAAATAATGTTTAAGATTTTTATTTTGCTTCAAGTAAACTTTGTTCCAAAAATTGGCACTTTCCAAGGGACCCCCCCCAAAACACCCCCCAAACCCAACTTGTTTAATATGAAGTAGGCGTCTGTACATTTATTTTCCTTTGAGAGAAACAGCTTTCATCAGACTGTACGGACAGACTGAGAGGTTGCACGGCCTTTCAAACAGAGTGTTGCCACTGGTCAGTCGAGGCTACTGCACTATGTAAACATCAAGTCTGTTTTGTGGTTTTCAAACTGAATTCTTGCCCGTAATGTGTTTAAAAGGGGCCAGACCTTGAGAAGATACCGAGTTAGCATTCCCACTCACCTTCATAGCAGTCTCAAGCCCTTCACTGGTGGCAACCCTTGAAAAGTGGTGTCAAATGCAGCAGACGGAGACTCTGTTTTTGCTTGGTCTCCCCAAGCCGTTATTCCTCCTCGACCTCCTCTAAGGCCAACGATCCTGTGTTTATGTTGTCCAAACTATCAATGACAGTTTTTAGAAAGCACCGCCGTTGTGGGGGTGGGTAAGCACTCCTGGACCTCCGCGCCAGGTTTCTGACTAAAAAGGGTTCTCTCTGAGACAAATGTGTCCTCTTTGGTGATGTCACTTCTGTGAGAGTGGGAAGCAAAGGAATCATGTAGGATTGTTCGAGAGCGTTCAGGGTTGCAACACTTGGCAGCCTTTTTTTGGCTTGGCCGACATGGCGATTTCATGTCGGACACATTAAGACAAAGATAATGAATATTTCAGGATTCACCGGTTAGGCTTTACCTCTCAAACGTTTACACATATATCAGGATTTTTCCTCTCCAAATCCAATAGCTCTGAGATGTTTAGCGTTTCACATCCATATGGCATCCACATGTACAGGATCCTGCTCATTCTTCAGTTACATGTCCTACATGTAAGACACAATCCGCTTGAAGACACTTTTGGTCTTTCTCTGATGGTGGAATCACTTGCAGATGGTGGATTGGACGAGTTGCCGGCAATCACAAGCCTGTTTGATTGATGTCTTCTTTGACCTCTCTTCTTTTCTTTGCGTTGGGAGTGTAGCACATTACATTAGCGTTCTCTCCGCACTGCAGTTCGCCCATTTAGATCCCTTCAGCACGGAAGATGCCAGAACGGGCCCGTTTGGCCATGACAGGCTCAAATTGACGAGAAAAGTCTAGGCTCATTATTGGCTTATTTAGCCTGTTCTGTTCAGTCCATTATTGTTAGTAACGTCCACATGAATTTACTTGTGGTGTCTTTTGATGGCACTCCATAGACCCTAAAGTGGCTCGATTTGGGTGGAGGCTCTTTGCTAATGATCATTCTTATAAACCAAATTATTAGTAACTAATTGAATGGCCCTTTGCCGCACAGTCGCCATCGAGCCTGTGGAGGAATTGAGGTTGGTGTCCGCTATGCCCGGTCCTCTACTAATGACAAGCTTCTTGCATTGAAAATGTGCTTTAGTATTTACGAGGGGCAACACACTGTTTGAGCCCTTGCCCTTTCTTTGAAGCTAAACATTGATCTTTTAATTAACAGGTTTTATGGGCTTCCTTTTTACTGGCCTGGCACTCTAAGCTGGCACAGAGCTGGGTAATGTAGGACTTTGGGGTTTCTACCCTGATTTCCTTTGTCCCTCTCACAGTTTATAGCATATGAAGGCAGTGTTTCCTTCTTGTTTCTTTTATTTTAAAGGGATAGCTCACTCCAAAATACCTTTTTGTCATAAAGTACTCACCCTAACTCACCTGTATGGCTTTCTTTGTTCTGTGGAACACAAGAAGAATCTTGAAGAATTGGACGTCAATGGGCTCCAGTGCAATTTTGGACCCCGCTGACTTTCAGTGTATGGACAAAAACAGTTCTTCAAAATACCTTCCCAACACTCATTGGGCTCTGTTCTAAAGCTATTTTAATGGCGACAGGCGGGGTTACTCCGATAGGAAAATCGAAGATTGTAAAACCAAGTTATACATAAGCCCGCTAGACATCATAATAGATTAATCAGGACAACGCAAACACACAGGAGGATCATAATTCACCCAAAAACACACTCTTGTGAACTCCAACTCGTCTATTACTTGGACTCCTCCAGACCGCCCCATTAGGCCTTGCTGCCAGCCTGTCCTCTGTTGTGGTCAATGCCTCTTTTATTACTCGTCCTCCCTGCCTGTTTTTTTTCTCTGTTTATGGCGTAATGTTGTTTTATTTGGTTTGAGCTGTTCACAGGATGTTACTGCATCTCTGTTTAAACGGCTGGAATGCAGGAAGGTGATTAAGCCGGTGCTGAAAGAACCACTCAGTCATACAACCCACGGAGCCAACAAAGACAATAGACTCACCAAAAACGCACCCCATTTCGATGAAGAATTGGTGTTTTCAGGAACAAAAACAAAATTATTGTGCATTGTACGTCTAATAGGGCCTTTAGAGTTTAACCGAAGGGTAATTGGGTCGTGAGTAATAAATATACCCTTACAAAAATATACTGTGGTGCGAATAAAGATGGATAGATGGATGGATGGACACACACATTGACTAATTAATTAACATTATGTGTTTTTTTGCTGGTTCAATACCCAATTATGAATAATTCCTTGAGAAAGGCAATCATCTGTGACACTGTTTGCAGCTGTGAGACGCCCCACTCCTGCACTGCAGATGTGTCTGTGATGAGCAGTCATTGTTTGATGAAAGTTACTGTCAGTTATGTTCTGTGGCCAGTTTCACCTCCACTCTCATAACGTTTGAGTCTTCTGTTTACTTTAGAGACTGCTGATCTTAGATCAGTATGTAAAGTTTACAATCTTGGAGAAGAGAAGCGAAGTGCTCGACCGCCCTTGGCCAAAGTCATCTGGCTGTGATCTGGCAGCACAAAGCCAGCTGTATAAATAGGGGAGAGTCTTGCATTTTACGGGTCACTCTGAATAAAACATGAACTAGAGAAGATTGATTATTAATGACCTCAGGGCTGGAACAGAAATAATCTGTTAGGCCTTGAATCCTCCATTCTTTTTCCTTCCCTGTTCCCTCTCTCGTTCTCGGCGCACCTTCATCTGTCTTTCGCTCACTTCTCCTCTTGGTTTCCTTTCCGATTGGCCCTCCGATAGATGTTTACTTTAGCCATCTGTTTTCAGACGTTCCCATTCGAATAGATCAAGAGTTCAATAAGGATTCATGCAGATTTTGTGATGATTCACAGGCTCACACCTGTCAGAGCTGGCATCAGATCTCTGTGTGGGCTCCAGTGGCGGTCCGCTAGGGAGTTTTCCAAGGAGGTTGATATTTAAATCAAATAGATTGTAGTAGGTTATGATAATCATTTTGTATTTCTGGACTGTGACGAATGTTCCATCCTCTGCTTCTTTATTATAGTTTTTTTTATGGCACTTCAGTCATTCTTTTTTATGAGATCCTTCAATAATTTGGACTTTGTCAGTATTTTGGCTAAGTTAGATAATCTTTCTTCACCTGTTGCATATGAAAGTGAAACACAAAACTAATTGGCTTGGAAGGTTGCCAATTTAATCTCTGTTTTGCCTTTTTCAGTCACATTTGGAAACATATTATTTGCATTGGTCAGTTTAGCAATCGGCTTGTTTTGGCATTCGTGAACAAGATTTTTACAAGAAATGCATAAGAGCACAAATAGACAAATTAAAAAACTTGAATTTGCATTACAGTAACATTTCAGTTATCAGCTAATATTACAGATTTTTTAAACTTATGGATGTGTCATTTTAATTTATCGG